CAAATAGGAGGACCACTAGTACTTCAATCTGTATAGTGAGACCCTGTAGACCCTCAGAACTGCTGCTAGTGATCATGAAAAGAAAGAAATTTTATGAGCAAAATATATTTATTGAGGGAAAGAAAGCTCCTGTCCAAGAGAGGGACAGAATCAGGCACCTGAACGGGTTGTCCCTGGGAAGCAGTCTCCTCCAGGGACTTTTATAGTGTAAAACTATGCAGAGCTAAGGTGGAGAAAGTGAGAACTTGCTTAGATGGATGTGGGGTGGGACAAAACAATGGCAAAAGTTTGTTACCTAAGCAAGTCCCAATTCAGAATTTATGAAAGAAAAGGAAAGCCATACCTTCATCCAATGATCTCAGTGGATGACCTCCAAATGATAAAGGAATAAGAATGATCACCCAACCTGACCTGGACAAATTCGTGTTCTCTAAAACCAAAGAATGAATTTTAGGAACAAATGGAGATTATGAGCAGAATATATTCATGGAGGGAAGGAAAGCTCCTGTCCGTAAAAAGCAAGAGTAGCTGTTCTATTCTCAGATGATGTGAACTTGAAGTCAAGACTGATCAAAGGAGACAAAGAATGTCACTAATAATGTTAAAGGAGGACTCAATAATATCAGAACAATCATAAATACATATGTGCCAAGTATTAGTGCACCCAACTACATAAAACAATACTAACAGGCATGAAAATCAAATAAGCACTAACATAATTTTAGTGGAAGACTTTAATACCCCATTCTCACAATTAGACAGATTATCAGACAAAAGATCAACAAAAATATCAGAATTACAATAAGTCTGTGAAAAAATGCACTTAGTAAATGTCTACAAAGTCTTTTACTCTACAACACCAGAGTACTCATTCTTCTCAGCTGCATATGGGATGTACTCCAGAGGAGACCACATTCTAGTGCACAGAATATATGCAAGTAAATGCGGAGGAACTGCAATTATCCAATGCATATTATCTAATCATAGTACAATGAAATTGGAAATCCACAGGAAAAGTAAGTACAAACATTGGATAAACACATAGAAATTAAACTATACCCTCATGAGAAAGCAATGGGTCACAGAGGAAATTAAAGAAGAAATTAAACAGTATCTACAAATAAATGTGAATGCAGATACAACATACTTAAGTTTATGAAACACAATGAAAGCAGTCATGAGGGAAACTTATATCAATAAACGCGCACATCAGGAAAACAGAAAAAGCTCAAATAAACAATATTGAACTTCAAATTCTTAGAAAAAGAAGAATAAATCAAACCCGAAGTTCATACAAGAGGAAATTTTAGAGATCAGAGCAGAAATTAATGCAATTGAGACTAGGAATTTAGTACAAAGAATCAGTGAATCAAAGAAACTGATTTGAAAGATTAGATAAAATTGGTAAACCTCTAGCCAACCTTATCGAAAGAAAGAAAGAAAGAAAGAAAGAAAGAAAGAAAGAAAGAAAGAAAGAAAGAAAGAAAGACTAATTCAATCAACTAGGAATGAAAAGGGAAAAAACACAATGGATTCTGTGGAAATCTAGAAGATTATCAATACCTACTTCTAGAACCTGTACTGTAATAAAACGGAAAACACAGAAGAAACAGACAGATACCTGGACACATATAAATTACCAAAACTGAATCAAGAATATATAAGTAATCTAAAGAACCCGTATATCAGTCAGAAAAATTGAAAATGTAATTAAAAACCTACCAATGAAGAAAAGTCCAGACCCTGAGAGATGTACTGCTAAATTCTATAAGAAATTTAGAAAAAAATATAATATCACTAATCAAATAGAAAGGGAAACAATTATTTCCAGAATCATTACTGGAAGGAAGCATTACTCTGACACCTAAATCAGGAGAAACCAAACAGAAAAGAAAGAAAACTACAAAACAATCTCCCCAGTGAACATAGGTGCAAAACTCCTTAGTAAGATACTGGCAAGCAGAACAGAGAGCGTCAGCACAAAGAGTGCATGTCCTCACCAAGTAGGATTCAGGGTAGGGATGCAGGGATTGGATTAACATATGCAAATCAGTACATGTAACACGCCACATTAACGAAATAAAAAACAAAAATCACATGATCAACTCAATAGCTACAGAAAAAGTATTTGACAAAGTCCAACACCCATTCATGATAAAAAGAAAAAAAAAAAGCCCTCTAGAAAATTGGAATAGATGGTCTATCTCAATCTGATAAAGGCCATCTATGAAAAACCAATAGCTAACATTATACTAAGTGGTGAAAACTGAAAGCTCTCACTCTAAAATGAGAAAAAATATGAATGATGTCCAATATCACCACTTCTATTTTATATA